GGAAAGTAGCCCTGTGGGGTTGGGGTGCTGTGCTGGGTGCTGGTCTGAGCTTCCTGCCAGCACTGGCCACCTTCGTGCTGCTGAGGGGTGTGAGACCCTGGAAGGTTGAAAAGGGGGAGACACAGAGGTGGAGGAGGGACACGAAGCACCCAAAAGGCACCCACAAAAGCAAGTGAGGTGCCCCAATAGCTGAGAGGGGAGACACGAAGCACCCAAAAGGCACCTAGAAAAGCAATAAGGTGCCCAAATAGCTGAGAGAAGGGACATGTAGCACCCAAAAGTCACCCAGGAAAGCAAATGAGGTGCCCCAACAGCTGAGAGAAGGGAGGATGGGGCTGCAGGGCTTGGGCCGCTCAGAAACCTGCGCACGGGGCTGCGATGCCCGACCGCTCCCCATCCTCCGGAGCCGGGGAAGCTGCTGGGACCTGTGGTGTTTACCCGGGTTTGCACAGCCCTGCCATGGTTACCTGCCCTCTCCACGCCTTTGAGACCGATGCTGACGCAGAATCGCCCGCCCAGGGCTGGATTTCCCTCTGATTCCCAGCCCTGGGCTCGGGGGGAGCCTGGAGCAGAGAGGGGGAGTAACACAGGCTGCCCCTGCCGTGTGTGGGAGCTGGGATGTTCCCCGGGATCTGGGACGGCTTCCAGGGCCGCGGCTCTTCAGGAAATCCTGCTCGAGACTGACTCAGCGTGGGGCAGGAGAAAGAGAAGCAGCTACTCAGGGGCGACGACTCTCCCCAATATATTTTCCTTTCTTGCCTCAGTTTCCTGCCCCAAACTGGAAACAGTTCAGTCCCCGTAAATCCAAAGTATTTTCCAAACGTGGGAGCTGAGGGCAGGAGACCTGCTGCTCTTCCCCTTGGGTTTTGCCCTTTCCCCCTGCATTTTGCAAACACCTCTTGGTGCTCCTTTAACAACAAAATATCCCCTTCGCAAGAACGAATCGCAGAGGGGCTCGTGGCCCAGCCCCGTCCTTGGCTGCCGTGGGGGATTTCAGGAGGTTCCTGTTTCTTGACGCCGTGTGTGTGTGTGTGTGTGTGTGTGTGTGTGTGTGTGTTGGCAGTGGAGGTGCTGGCCCTGTTCGCAGACGGCCCATCTGTGCTGCCATATGTTGGTCACCAAGATGTGCGACTGTCACGTGCACGAAGGGGACATCACCCCTGTGCATCCGCCTGTCCCTGGCTGGGACAGAGCCTTCTGAGTCCTTCTGGCCCCCGGGGCCACAGGCCGGTGGCCGGGGCTGGTTGAGCGAGAGGTGCTGGCCCCTGGGGCTGCATCAGGCTGTGGCGGACCTGAGCTGCCCTTGGTCCTCCTGGCCAGCCCCGTCACCAGCCAGCGGGCTCCAGTTGCATTTAAGAGCAAGACACAGATGGTGCTGGGCTTGTCCTCGCTTCTCTCTGTCTTCTTGCAACACTGCAGCTCCGTCTGCTGTTTGAGGGAATTGGTTCTCTCCTGCTCAAGAGAAAGAAAAGTGAATAAAATCTGGGTTTCTCCACGGAGGTTCATGGATGTCTCCAGCTCCAGCCTCGTGCACCGTGCGAGTGATCCGGTGTGTTTGCTGCACCGTGCTGCTGCCTCTCTCCTGCCCAAGGATGCAGGAGTGGTCCCAGGTGTGGGGCAGCCGGTGGAAAAAGGCAGATGGATGCATGTGGCCAGGAAAATGTGTGTCTGGATGGCTCTTAGCCAGCAGTGGCTTTGAGCTGCTGGCTGTTCCCGTAGTGCCCAGGCACATCCCCTCGTAGGTGTCAGATCAGAGCACACGCGGGCTGAGATGGCAGCCCCTGAAATCACGCAGATCAGTAGCGAGGGCCAGGGGTTCAGAGGTGTGTGGGCTCTCGTGGGGTGTGTGTGGGGGGATTTGGTGGGATTTTCAGCAGCCTCTATCTGGATTAAGTGTTTGGAATTAGGAGGAACGCGTGATCTGAACTGGGACACCCTCCCACCAGGCTGAGGCCCATGTAGAAATCGGATGCGAGGATGAAGGATGGCAGCAGTCAGTGCAGTCATCAGCTATTTATTCCGATTTTTCATGCAATACATCAGTGTGAAGAAGAAAGAGCCCCGCCCCCACCATTACCCTGCAGTAACCACAGCGTAACTCGACTGCTTCAAAGCCTCCGTGAGCCTGGGGCTGGGATTCTGCTCAGCTCTTAGGGGAGCAGAAGAGTGTAGCCAAAAGCATTGAGTCTACAAAAGTGGTTGGTTGGTTGCTTTGTTTGTTTGGGTTTGTTTTGTTTTTTTTTTCCCCCCCCCCCCAGACTTGAGGATTTTCAGGCCCCCAGAATGAGTATGATTGAGCTACTGGAATTTTTAATTCCTATCCTGTGGCGGAGCAGAAGCCGACAGGAGAGCCAGCCGTGGAGCTGGGGAGCCGTGAGTGCAGTGAAATGCAGAACAGTCGTGCCACAGGTTAGAAGAGATGACAGGGACATAAAGGACAGAGAGACCCAAAGATTCCAATTAGAGCAGAAAAGTGACTAAATACCGCATCAAGGTGGAGAGACGTAACGCAGGAAGGCAGAAACTGCAGATCCCGCGGTAACTCTACCTATCTGCTGAGGATTTGTTATGTGGACCCCCCCCCCAAAACCCACCTGACACCCTCTCAGAGCACCCCGTTAACCCTTTTGTGTCAAACACTTCTGTGTCACCACATGGTGATATCCTAAACTGAAAGCAAAGAGCAGAAATGAACCTCAAAGAGATCTGGAGAAGCCCCACCAGCTCCAGGGAGAGGACTTCCCCGTAAGATGCCTTTGTCTTCATCCCCGGCACGATGACTCGGTGCCTTCTGTGAGACCGGGGGGCCAGGGGGGCCCTAGGTCTGCTTAGTGGTGCAAAGCCGTGCTTCCTCCTCCCGCTGAAGCTGGGCATCGCTCACTGGCCGGGGACTCCTCCTGCTAGGTGGCTGGTGGCTTTTCTCCGGCGGAGCAAGCTCTGCATCCTCACGGCAGAATCTGGCTTCATCTCTCCGGGTTGGTTCTGCCCGTGGCTCTGGAGCCTGGGGCAGAGGCGGGCAGCTCTTGGCCTCCCTGTCCTCACGGTACCTCACCTGGCAGCTGGAGTCGGGCTCCCTCACGACCTGCTCCCTGGCAGCTTTTGCTCCATCTCCCAGGGGCTGATGCTTCTTCTCTTCTGTGTTGGACATCTCGGGGTCCTGGTTGTCCCTCCTGTCCTCCTTCAGCTTTGCCCGGCAAGCGTCACCCTTAACACCATCCTGCTCGGAGGCAGAAGCCTGGTGACCCCCATCCTTCACCCCAGGTGTGGCCCCTTGCCGTGGCAGTTCAGGCTCCCCTGTTTCTCGCTCGTCCCTTTGGCATCGTGGCTCTGGGGAGTTGCTCTTGTCACACGGATCTGCCAGTGGCTGGGGTGACACAGAGCACTTCTTCACATAGACGGGCTGCCCCAGGTTGTGTGGCTGTTGGCAGATGATCTTGTAGGTGGTGGCTTCAGGATCGTTTGGGTTCTGGATCACATGGATCAAGTACGCGATGGTCTGAGGCTCGCAGGGCTGAGGAACCACCTGCACCTCCAGTGGAACATCGGGCTCGGTGGGGATATAATGGACCCTCACATCGGTGACAGACGCTTGTTCACCTTGGGGGCAGAGGTCTCGGTTATCCACCTCCACCGTTCGGTAGAGACCCCTCTCAAGCCTTTGTCCTTCATCTTCAGGTCTCCGGCAGCTGTTTGGCTCACAGGTATTTTCCTCATGTAAAAGCCTGTGGTTCCCCGATTCTTGGTCTTCTGAGGATGCACAGGGCGTGCTCTTACACAGGTCACTCTGTAATTCATTTCCCTGAGGGTGGTGCAGAAAATCCATCTCTTGTTCTTCTTCAACTATCTGGAGAACGTTTCTGTCACGGGACTTTCTGAGGGATCTCATGGCAACTTGTTCACCCCTGTCTTGTGCGTGGAGGCTGCGGCGCTCATAGACCCGTTGGCGATCAGTCATCCTTTCCCGCATGTGCTCTTTCCTCTCTCCTTCCCAGCAGACCCTCCTCTCCTCCTCTGGTTCTGCACAATCACGGGCACACTCTTTCCTTTTCAGATCATCACGTGGCTCCCGTTCCCGGGTGACCCGGCGGATCCTGACATCTGCTTCTGCTGCTGCTACTGCAGCCTCCCGGGTCCTCTCATACCTCACCGACTCACGTTGTCTCCTTCCATCATCCTCAGGGTCGCGTCTCTGACACTCACGCCTCTCGCAGGTCTCTCTCTGGTCGTTTTTGGCAGGTCGTTCCTCTCTTTCACGTGTCTGGCGGCTGTGACGCTCGTAAACCTCCACCTCCCGATCCCGCTGGCGATCGATCCTCCTCTCTCTCAGAGGCTCTTCCCTCTCTCCTTCCCGGCAGACCCTCCTCTCCTCCTGTGGTTCTGCACAATCACGGGCACACTCTCTCCTTTCCACGTCGTCACGGGGTTCCCGTTCCCGGGTGACACGGCGGATCCTGACATCTGCTTCTGCTGCCGCTACTTCCATTTCCCGGGTCCTCTCGTACCTCACGGACTCGCGTTGTCTCCTTCCATCGTCCTCAGGGTCACGTCTCTGACATTCACGCCTATTACATGTGTCTTTCGGGTCCTTTGTGGCACCTCGCTCTTCCCTTTCACGTGTCTGGCGGCTGCGGCGCTCATAGACTTCCACATCCAGCTCCCGTTGGCGATCGATCCTCCTCTCCCGCACAGGCTCTTCCCTCTCTCCTACCCGGCAGACCCTCCTCTCCTCCTCCCGATCCACACAATCACGGGCACGCTCTCTACTTTCCAGGTCGTCACGTGGCTCCTGTTCCCGGGTGACCCGGCGGATCCTGACATCTGCTTCTGCTGCTGCTACTTCCATTTCCCGGGTCCTCTCGTACCTCATGGACTCACGTTGTCTCCTTCCATCGTCCTCAAGGTCACGTCTCTGACACTCACGTCTCTCGTAGGTCTCTCTCGTGTCCGCAGTGGCACCTTGCTCTTCCCTTCCATGTGTCTGGCAGCTGCGGCGCTCGTAGACCTTGAAATCCAGCTCCCGCTGGTGATCGATCCTCCTCTCCCGCACAGGCTCTTCCCTCTCTCCTTCCCGGCAGACCCTCCTCTCCTCCTCCCGATCCACACAATCACGGGCACACTCTCTACTTTCCAGGTCGTCACGTGGCTCCTGTTCCCGGGTGACCCGGCGGATCCTGACATCTGCTTCTGCTGCTGCTACTTCCATTTCCCGGGTCCTCTCGTACCTCATGGACTCGCGTTCTCCCCTTCTATCGTCCTCAGGGTCACGTCTCTGACACTCACGCCTCTCGCAGGTCTCTCTCGTGTCCGTCGTGGCACCTCGCTCTTGCCTTTCACGTGTCTGGCGGCTGCGGCGCTCATAGACCTCCACCTCCCGATCCCGTTGGCGATCGATCCTCCTCTCCCACACAGGCTCTTCATTCTCTCCTTCCTGGCCAACTCTCCTCTCCTCGTCCCGATCCACACAATTACGGGCACTCTCTCTCCTTTCCACGTTGTCACGGGGTTCCCGTTCCCGGGTGACCCGGCGGATCCTGACATCTGCTTCTGCTGCCGCTACTTCCATGTCCCGGATCCTCTCGTACCACACGGACTCGCGTTGTCTCCTTCCATCGTCCTCGGGGTCACGTCTCTGACACTCACGCCTATCACAAGTCTCTCTCGTGTCCGTCGTGGCACCTCGCTCTTCCCTTTCGCGTGTCTGGCGGCTGCGGCGCTCGTAGACCTCCACATCCAGCTCCCGTTGTCGATCGATCCTCCGCTCTCTCACGGGCTCTTCCCTTTCTCCTTCCTGGCAGACCCTCCTCTCCTCTTGTGGTTCTGCACAATCACGGGCACACTCTCTCCTTTCCACGTCATCACGTGGCTCCCGTTCCCGGGTGACCCGGCGGATCCTGACATCTGCTTCTGCTGCTGCTACTGCAGCCTCCCGCGTCCTCTCGTACCTCACAGACTCGCGTTGTCTCCTTCCATCGTTCTCAGGGTTACGTCCCTGACACTCACGCCTCTCGCAGTTTTCTCCCGTGTCCGTCGTGGCACCTCGCTCTTCCCTTTCCTGTGTCTGGCGGCTGCGGCGCTCATAGACCTCCACATCCAGCTCCTGTTGGCGATCGATCCTCCTCTCTCTCAGAGGCTCTTCCCTCTCTCCTTCCTGGCAGACCCTCCTCTCCTCCTGTGGTTCTGCACAATCACGGGCACACTCTCTCCTTTCCAGGTCGTCACGTGTCTCCCGTTCCTGGGTGACCCGGCGGATCCTGACATCTGCTTCTGCTGCTGCTACTTCCATTTCCCGGGTCCTCTCGTACCTCACGGACTCACGTTGTCTCCTTCCATCGTCCTCAAGGTCACGTCTCTGACACTCACGCCTATCACAAGTCTCTCTCGTGTCCGTCGTGGCACCTCGCTCTTCCCTTTCGCGTGTCTGGCGGCTGCGGCGCTCGTAGACCTCCACATCCAGCTCCCGTTGTCGATCGGTCCTCCGCTCTCTCACGGGCTCTTCCCTTTCTCCTTCCTGGCAAATCCTCCTCTCCTCCTGTGGTTCTGCACAATCACGGGCACAGTCTCTCCTTTCCACGTCATCATGTGGCTCCCGTTCCCGGGTGACCCGGTGGATCCTGACATCTGCTTCTGCTGCTGCTACTTCCATGTCCCGGGTCCTCTCGTACCTCACGGACTCGCGTTGTCTCCTTCCATCGTCCTCAGGGTCACGTCTCTGACACTCACGCCTCTCGCAGGTCTCTCTCTGGTCACTTTCGGCACCTCGTTCCTCTCTTTCACGTGTCTGGCGGCTGTGACGCTCGTAAACCTCCACCTCCCGATCCCGCTGGCGATCGATCCTCCTCTCTCTCACAGGCTCTTCCCTCTCTCCTTCCCGGAAGACCCTCCTCTCCTCCTGTGGTTCTGCACAATCACGGGCACCCTCTCTCCTTTCCACGTCGTCACGTGGCTCCCGTTCCCGGGTGACACGGGAGATCCTGACATCTGCTTCTGCTGCTGCTACTGCAGACTCCCGCGTCCTCTCGTACCTCACCGACTCGCGTTGTCTCCTTCCATCATCCTCGGGGTCAGGTCTCCGACACTCATGCCTCTCGCATGTCTGTCTCTGGTCCCTTTTGTCAGATCGTTCCTCTCTCTCACGTGTCTGGCGGCTGCGGCGCTCGTAGACCTCCACATCCAGCTCCCGTTGGTGATCGATCCTCCTCTCCCGAACAGGCTCTTCCCTCTCTCCTTCCCGGCAGACCCTCCTCTCCTCCTCCCGATCCACACAATCACGGGCACACTCTCTCCTTTCCAGGTCGTCACGTGGCTCCCATTCCCGGGTGACCCGGCGGATCCTGACATCTGCTTCTGCTGCTGCTACTTCCATTTCCCGGGTCCTCTCGTACTTCTCGGACTCGCGTTCTCCCCTTCCATCGTCCTCAGGGTCATGTCTCTGACACTCACGCCTCTTGCAGGTCTCTCTCGTGTCCGTCGTGGCACCTCGCTCTTCCCTTTCACGTGTCAGGCGGCTGTGGCGCTCATAGACCTCCACCTCTCGATCCCGTTGGCGATCGATCCTCCTCTCCCGCACAGGCTCTTCCCTCTCTCCTTCCCGGCAGACCCTCCTCTCCTCCTCCCGATCCACACAATTACGGGCACTCTCTCTCCTTTCCAGGTCGTCACGGGGTTCCCGTTCCCGGGTGACACGGCGGATCCTGACATCTGCTTCTGCTGCTGCTACTTCCATTTCCCGGGTCCTCTCGTACCTCACGGACTCGCGTTCTCCCCTTCCATCGTCCTCAGGGTCATGTCTCTGACACTCACGCCTCTTGCAGGTCTCTCTCGTGTCCGTCGTGGCACCTCGCTCTTCCCTTTCACGTGTCAGGCGGCTGTGGCGCTCATAGACCTCCACCTCTCGATCCCGTTGGCGATCGATCCTCCTCTCCCGCACAGGCTCTTCCCTCTCTCCTTCCCGGCAGACCCTCCTCTCCTCCTCCCGATCCACACAATTACGGGCACTCTCTCTCCTTTCCACGTCTTCACGGGGTTCCCGTTCCCGGGTGACACGGCGGATCCTGACATCTGCTTCTGCTGCCGCTACTTCCATGTCCCGGGTCCTCTCGTACCTCACGGACTCGCGTTGTCTCCTTCCATCGTCCTCAGGGTCACGTCTCTGACACTCACGCCTATCACAAGTCTCTCTCGTGTCCGTCGTGGCACCTCGCTCTTCCCTTTCCCGTGTCTGGTGGCTGCGGCGCTCGTAGACCTCCACATCCAGCTCCCGTTGTCGATCGATCCTCCGCTCTCTCACGGGCTCTTCCCTTTCTCCTTCCTGGCAGACCCTCCTCTCCTCTTGTGGTTCTGCACAATCACGGGCACACTCTCTCCTTTCCACGTCATCACGTGGCTCCCGTTCCCGGGTGACCCGGCGGATCCTGACATCTGCTTCTGCTGCCGCAACTTCCATGTCCCGGGTCCTCTCGTACCTCACGGACTCGCGTTGTCTCCTTCCATCGTCCTCAAGGTCACGTCTCTGACACTCACGCCTATCACAAGTCTCTCTTGTGTCCGTTGTGGCACCTCGCTCTTCCCTTTCCTGTGTCTGGCGGCTGCGGCACTCGTAGACCTCCAAATCCAGCTCCCGTTGGTGATTGATCCTCCTCTCTCTCAGAGGCTCTTCCCTCTCTCCTTCCCGGCAGACCCTCCTCTCCTCCTGTTGTTCTGCACAATCACGGGCACACTCTCTCCTTTCCAGGTCGTCACGTGGCTCCCGTTCCCGGGTGACCCGGCGGATCCTGACATCTGCTTCTGCTGCTGCTACTGCAGACTCCCGCGTCCTCTCGTACCTCACCGACTCGCGTTGTCTCCTTCCATCGTCCTCAGGGTCACGTCTCCGACACTCACGCCTCTCACAGGTCTGTCTCTGGTCCCTTTTGTCAGATCGTTCCTCTCTTTCACGTGTCTGGCGGCTGTGACGCTCGTAAACCTCCACCTCCCGATCCCATTGGCGATCGATCCTCCTCTCTCTCAGAGACTCTTCCCTCTCTCCTTCCCGGCAGACCCTCCTCTCCTCCTGTGGTTCTGCACAATCACGGGCACACTCTCTCCTTTCCACGTTGTCACGGGGTTCCTGTTCCCGGGTGACACGGTGGATCCTGACATCTGCTTCTGCTGCTACTACTTCCTTGTCACGGGTCCTCTCGTACCTCATGGACTCGCGTTGTCTCCTTCCATCGTCCTCGGGGTCGTGTCTCTGACACTCACGCCTCTCGCAGGTATCTCTCATGTCCGTCGTGGCACCTCGCTCTTCCCTTTCCTGTGTCTGGCGGTTGCGGCGCTCGTAGACTTCCACATCCAGCTCCCGTTGGTGATCGATCCTCCTCTCTCTCACAGGCTCTTCCCTTTCTCCTTCCCAGCAGACCCTCCTCTCCTGTGGTTCTGCACAATCACGGGCACACTCTCTCCTTTCCACATCATCATGTGGCTCCCGTTCCCGGGTGACCTGGCAGATCCTGACATCTGCTTCTGCTGCTGCTATTTCCATCTCCTGGGTCCTCTCGTACCTCACGGACTCGCGTTCTCCCCTTCCATCGTCCTCGGCGTCGCGTCTCTGACACTCACGCCTCTCGCAGGTCTCTCTCTGGTCACTTTTGGCACCTCGTTCCTCTCTTTCACGTGTCTGGCGGCTGTGACGCTCGTAAACCTCCACCTCCAGATCCCGCTGGCGATCGATCCTCCTCTCCCACACAGGCTCTTCCCTCTCTCCTTCCCGGCAGACCCTCCTCTCCTCCTCCCGATCCGAACAATCACGGGCACACTCTCTCCTTTCCACGTCGTCACGGGGTTCCTGTTCCCGGGTGACCCGGCGGATCCTGACATCTGCTTCTGCTGCCGCTACTTCCATGTCCCGGGTCCTCTCGTACCTCACAGACTCGCGTTGTCTCCTTCCATTGTCCTTGGCATCACGTCTCTGACATTCACGTCTCTCATAGGTCTCTCTCGGGTCCGTTGTGGCACCTCGCTCTTCCCTTTCGCGTGTCTGGCGGCTGCGGCGCTCGTAGACCTCCACCTCCCAATCCCGTTGGCGATCGATCCACCTCTCCCGCTCTGAGACGTTTTGTTCATCCCGTTTCTCATCCCAATCAATGTCTCTCTCACTTTCTTGAGATGTAATCTTCTGATCTTTTTTTTTCACTTGATCAAAGGTTTTTCTTTCTGTCTCGCATGTGTCATCGTTCCTAAGCTCGAGCTCTAGCGGTTCTATATATGACTGATATGGGTGTGTTGAATCCAGGCATTCAGACTCATTTTGCTGGTGGCTTCTGCGTTCCACTTCTTTTTGTTCCAGCTCACGTACGTGGTAGCGGTTTTTCTCTCCTCTGAGTAATTCATGTTTACGTGGCTGGTTGTGACTTCCTCTATCTGCTTCTTGTGGCCGCTGGTTTTTCTGATCATTTGCTCGTAGTGCTGGCTCCTGCGGCTGACGGCTACTCCACCGGTTTGGCAGTGGTTGAGGTTCACAGGTCTGGCTGCGACTCCTCACGTCTGCCAGTTGTTCTGGCTGAGGCCTCTCTTGATTTTGCCTCTCAGCTGCCTGCATTCCAGGCTCGTCTTCTTGCAAGCTGCCCCCCTCGCAGGCTCGTACATCTTCTCCTCTGCCTTGCTCCGGGGCCTGACGTCTTCTCTGGCTCTTCCATTGGTTGCATGGCTCTTGGCTTCTTTCTTCATATGCCCAAGGGATTGGCTCCTCTGGCTCACTGCGTTGTTTTGCATCATTTCTGCTTCGTGTGTTACGTTGCTGGTGATGACTTCCCGCTTCCTCCGGTGTTTCAAGCTCATTGACCCCTGTTTCTCGTTGCACCTCAGGTTCACAGGGCGGATGATGATTACTCTCACAAGTTTGAGAGTCTCCCTCTGTTACTCTTCCTCTGTTCTTCATTTCAGGCTCTTGGAGTGACTTCTCACTGCTTCTCAGCTCTGTTCTTTGCAGAAGGCACGGTCCCTTCGGCAGGTACCAGTAGCAGGATTTAGCCACTCTGAACACCAAAATCAGGAACTCATTAAAATCTATTTCCCCATCACCATCCCACTCCAGGAACTGCAGAATCTTGTCAATCGTCTGAGGGTCACGCGGCTTCTGCAGGGAAAAGACACACAGGGAAACATAAAAGGGATTTTAGCCTTCCCGTCCCTTGTCTGAGAAATGCAAATACAGGGACAACTGTAATCCTCTCTCCGTCCTTCTCTCACACCTTCACTTTTATAGCTCAGCAGCAACTCCATGTCTTTGTACTCACATTTTTCTGGTTGTTCCCTGCCTGCAGCTCACCATCTCTCTTCTCTTTGGGATATGCTCTATCACTCTACTGGATGCATTTCCCTCTTGCCTTTGAAAGAAAACTCTACCTCGCATGGTTCATTCTCCAGCTTTAACCATTTTGCTCGTGGCAAAAATGGGCTGGAAGAACTGTCGAAGCAGTCAGTGCAAAGGAACCCAACTGCTGCTCCCCTTTGGTGAAAGCCTCCCCGTCCCACTGGCACAAGAATCATCCAGAAGGACATTTTGCAGTCCCTGCACTCCAGTCTCGGCCTCAAGCCCTCCCCCTCGCAGCAGCACTCACAGCCATGGCATCTGCAAACTCCCTCTGGATGAACTGTTTCATCCTCTGTCGGCTGAGGCTGGAGTAGTCTCCGTCTTCCTTGGCATGTTGGTGAAAGGTGCTGATGATGGTGCAAACGCTGTCTAAGAAGCGAGACATCTTCCTGCAGATTCCAGCAAGCCTGCAAGAGAAGGAGCACACCTAAGGATTGGGGGATTTTCTTGCCTTTGAGTGTGAAAAGAGGAGGGGGAGAATTGCTGGGGTCAAGCTGCGTGCGTTGACGGGACGCTGGGTGCCACGTGCTCTGCGTCAGCTCCCGTGCCATGGCGAGCTCTGTTTCACCAGAGCACCGGGAAGAAATTCAAATGTTTAGGGGTTTTAGTGGGATGGGGAGTGTCCTCCAAGGTGCCTACTGCCGCATTTGAGTGATGTTTGATATGGGGATGGCAGGATGCCTGCATTTATGGGTCGCAGGGAGGGAACAGGGAATGGTGACTCAAGAGATGCCCCAAGAACCCGTCCCCGTGGGGCCATACCAGGTACTTATGTTTCCAGGACCCACGCTGCTATTTCTGCCTGGCACTGAGCTAACACCAGCTTCTGTGAAGCAGCTTCGAGGATGTCTCACGCAGCGCTGGCGAGGCTGCTAAGCTCTAGCGGGGTCAGAGACAGGTAGAGTGCTTCCGGGGAGTTAAAACAAGCTCTGTGGCTGATGCTGCTGTGACCAGTAGCAAAACAATTGATAAAGCTTTCATTGCAGCATCAGTTCATTGGCAAATAGATTTAGGCCAGCAGGGAACTGTCAGATCACCTAGGTCGGAGCTACTCGTTTAATTTTACTGAGAGCTGATTGGCAGGAAACCAGTGCTGCTGTTGGAGCTTTGTGTCTGGAAACCTCAGAAGCCACCTCCTTCCTTCCTCCTCGCAGGATCCCCAAAACCGTGTCAGGTATGTTAGGGCTGAGCTCTCAGCTGGGGAAGCCGTGCCACGTGTGCCTTGCCACCTCTACAACGTGCACGATCACATGAGCCCACGTGCACAGCTCTGCATGCGAAATCCCGGGGTTTAGTGTTTCTGTAGAAACCAGAAAATTTCTCCGATCTGTTCATTCTGCCCGGGAGCTGATTCCAGACCAAAGTAAAGCACGAAACCTGGCTCCGTCCCTCATTTCCCCTTTGAGAAAAGCTGCCTCTACACATGGGCACAGGATGACAGCGTGCAAGCGTCCAAACAACACAAACCGACATTTCACTGGATATAAAAGCAAAAGACTCTCAGAAAATAACTGCGGCAGGAGCCGCGCTGCCACCCAACACGAACCCAACAGAAATAACGTGTCCTCGCCCAGCAAAGTGCACATTTCAGAAGGAGCGACTTACCCAAATCACCAGCGGGGATCAAGTGGGATTCCTGTGAAGCCGTGCGGAGTGATCGGAGCACCCGAGTGCTTTTATAGGGTCCTTGACAGAGCTACAGACAGGAGACACCCTTTGTGGATGCTGTCCTGATTCATCTTTGGCCAAGCCCAGCTGCACCTTGACGTCCTCAAACGGGTTATTTAACTTATCATCCCCTTACCTATCATTTTAACCCAGAAATAGCAGTTGCCGTGTGGCAATTCAGGCACCGGCTGGTTCCACCTAATCCAGACTGTAAAGTGATTTTACAGGCTGGTTATATTTCAGATTTAAAAAAAAAAAATAAATTTGGAGGAGCTATAAAGGGTGTATGTGTGTTAATGGGAGGGTGTATTTTTATATAAACGTGGATTTGCATAGGTATGAACTTATAATTCACACACGCGCCCATAAAACTAGCAGCAAAATGAAATTTTGAGGATGGGGACAGAAGTGTGGGGGGTGGCAGAGCTCGCTAGGAGCAGATGAGGGACCATCGAGGTCTGTACGGCCCATGATCTTGCTACCACAATATCAGAGACTATTTTCGTTTGATTTCTGTGCAGTTCCTCCGGCACTTTGGGCCTGAGGTCGACGGGCTTTCACTCACAGAAGGTCAGAAGAAGAATTAAGCGCTATGAAAATGAGGGAATGCAGGCGCACAGCAGTGAGATCCCCAAATTCCCTAGATCTTGGCTTATGTGGTGTCTGTGTAGAGTGGGGTTTTTTTTGTGGTTTTTTTTTTTTTTTTTTTTTTTTTTTTTTTTTT